GTAAAATAAATAAAAAAAATTTGAAAAGAATATTTTTATTCCTTTTCAACACCACTACTACTTCTTCCTCTTCCTCTTCCTCCTCCTTCCCTTCCTCTTCCCCCTTCTGCTCCTTCAACATCCCTCGTCCTCCTCCTTCTTTGAAATGAGATCTCAATATGTAGCCCTCTCTGACTGACCTGAAACAGAGATATCAGCCTGCCTCTGCTCCTGAGTGCTAGAACTAAAGGTGTGCACTATCACACCTGGCTTATTTTTTGTTTTATGATTTTTTTTCTGTTTTTTATTTCTTTTAGTGTATATTTTTAAATTTTTTCTTAGTGATTTGCCTGGATGTTATCATTAACAACTAAATTCATAATAATCTAGTTCAAATTGAAATATTTTAAATATTTAAGCTATTTTATTTTAAAAATATTTTTTTAATATTTTATTGTTTTTATTTTATGTGTATTGCCTGCATGTATGTAAGTGCACTCATGTCATGCAATGCCCATTGAGGTCAGAAGGCATTGGATCCCCTGGAACTGAAGTTACAGATGGTTGTTAGCTGCCATGTTGGTGTTGGGAATCAAACCTGGGTCTTCTGCAAGAGCAGACAGTGCTCTTAACCACTGAGCCATCTCTCCAGTCCCAAATCTATGTAATTTTAATAGTACACAGGAACTTTGGTCCATCTTTTTTTAATGCTGTTATTGTCTCAAATTACATCTTTATACACTGTGTGTATTGTACATGTTTATAAATACTGCTTTATGAAATTACCTTTTAACTATTGCTAGGCAAAAACAATGTACAAGCCTAAAATACTTTACTACTGGGGAAAAAAAGGGCCAAACAGGCACTGATGGACAGAGAAGACTAAGCACTAAAGCCATGCCAAGGCCACAGCTCCACTAAAAGTGGAAGAGGGAGACTACTCAGCACTGCAGGGTCCCAGCACTCCTCAGAGATAAAGAGAAATCACTGGTCCAACTGGCCTTCAAAAAATTATGTAAAGCTCAGGAACACAGATCTCCTTGCCTTTTATCCTAAGTCAGAGAGATGGGTACAGACACTGGTGGAGGAATACTGCTGGAAGAATTCAGGCAAAAATAAGCTCTCCTTTGCTAGCCCATGTGTCTTAGTCAGTTTGAGCTGCTGCTGTAACAAAATATTTTGGGCTATATAATTTGCAAGCAAGAAAAGTTTAGTTCTGGAGTCTGGGAAATGCAAGGTTAAGGTGCTAGCAGATCTAGGATCTGATGAGGGCTCTACCTCTGCCTCACAAATGATACCTTGTTTCTGTATCTTCACACAACAGGAAGATCACATATGTCTAGGTGTTCCTTCACCTCCCTTCATAAGGCCAACTTAACTTCGTGATTGAATCATCTACTAAAGACCCTGTCTCTGACACTGTCACATTGGTGTTTAAGTTCTATCATATGAATTTTGAGTTTGGGGCACACATTTAGACCGTAGCAGCATGTTTGCATTTTTGCTGACAGCATTTGATTAGTGGCCACAGATTACTCATGGAGCACCTGTCCAGATGTCCAGCTATCTGTTGTATCATGGTATTTTTTGTTGTTTTTTGGTTTGGGTGTCTTTGTTTTGTTCTTCTTTTTGTTTTCTGGTGCTAGGGATTGAATCCAGGGCCTTGCACTTGCTAGGCAAGTGTTCTACCATTGAGCTATACCCTTAGCCCACAACATGGGTTTTCTTCACAGAGAAGCCCATTGCCCTTCTACTTGCCCTGCATGAAGCTTTCAAATTGAGAGAAGGACCAGGGTGCCTCAGCTTCTCCTGAGGGGGTTCACACACCTGCTGTGCTTGGCTCCCTAGCTCAATAGGAAAACACCTCAAAGGTTTATGTGTCCAATTACTTATGGAGTCTTGACGCAGAGCATGCACCTCACTGGTGCATTATTCTGCAAGTCTCTGAAAATAGAACCATTAAAACAAGTTTCATGTTTCCTCCAGGGTGCCAGAATCTGGGCATTTGATACCTTTCCCCTTCCTTAGCTTTCTGAACAGCCTAGAGCCCACATGTTTTCATTCTTGTATTTTCAAACAGAAACACTTATTTGTCAGAGGAATTGGAAAGCAGAAGTTAGAAGTGTTTGTCTGGGTTTCTATGTATTTGGCTATTGCCAAGGGAGGGGAGCGGTCCTAGTAGAAGATGAAAGCCTTCCTCCATGAACTGGCATGGTCCAGTGTCATTTGTCTTCCTCTGGGATGGGGTGTTAGAGAAATCATCCTTGCACATCAAAGACCACTGGGAAAGCATCTCCCCAAGAGGCAGCTGGAAAGTTGTTCAGTTCTGTAGAAGCTTTAGAACAAAGAGAGTCTTATCCACTGGAGGAAGTAACTGTGTAGGAAACTTTCTAAAGATGATTTTTAAATCTGTGCTTCTATTTTTAATTAGACACAGGCACCTCTGCAGAGTCCAAACAATTAACTTTCTAGTGTGTACATCAGTAGCAGATATTTAGGCAGATTTGGGAGTGATTTCATCTGTAGACCAGAAAAAATATATTGCCTCCAGTAATAACTTTTTTGGGAAAAAAAAACTTAGGAAATGATTCTGTATGCAGGGAGGGGGAAAAAATAAGTCTTGTATGATGAAGAAATAACAATAAAGGAAAATGAGTAAATTGCCCTTCATTACAAATAATTTAACACGGAATTCTAAGTAACTTTGGACCAGCATTGCAGTCAAGATTGTGTTTTGTTTTGCCTTACTTTCCTCCTACTCATAAAATGTTTAGTGAAGAATGGGGAGCCACAGAGCTAATCTGGTTCAGGAGTCACTGTATTTCCACCTCGTTTCACAAGACAGTGACTCAACACTGCTAGCGCTCTTCATGGCTGCTTAGCACACTCAATGATGCTCGTCTGTGGCCTTGTGTTTCAGTGGCTACAGCTCTAGGTGGAATGCTGTAGCTCTTGGCACAAGCACAACTCTTTCCACACTGCTTTGGGGGCTTTTTCTTACTTCCCTGAGATGTTCACGGCCCCCTACAACACCATCTGTACCCAAAGGTGCTCACTGATATCCCACCGCCCTCAGCTTCGTGCATCACCTTTCCCTCTCCAGGAACAGACTGGGGGCCTGTGGAGCCCTCTCCCTTTTAGAGAGAGGAGCTACTTCTGATCCAATTTCAAGAAGACATTTGAAAGCACACCAAAGTTTACCATTGCTGTCCCCTCCTAGCTTTTGAATGATGTTCTAAATAAGGCTAGTTTGAATGCAATCACATATCTCTGTCTCTATTTTTTTCTATACCTTATGATATAAGTTATATAGTTTCAAGTTATTTGAATTCATTTCCTGTCTAAAAGGAGTTCTGCTGTGCTTTGTCTGACAACTTTTATTTCTTGAACATTTCTGAACATTCTGTCTCCTAAAGATTTTTGATTATTTTTGGAGTAAAAGCTCAAGTGAAAAGCACAAGCAATCCTTTATGAACCTGGTGCAATAAAAATCCATTTTCTGGCATTGCCACATATAGAAGAAGCACCAAGGGCTCAGGTCTCTATGCTATTATTGAGGCCATTCTCCCAATGGTATCACTGCTGATAGTCCCAGTATCTCCCCCTCCACAGAGGAGCAGCTGAACCGCCAATAGTTCCAAGAATTTTCTGCCTTTTAAGGGTGTCCGACATTTCCGTCTGCCCATGACTCTTTTCTGCTCCTCTTTTCCCTTTCCTCCTTCTCTCCCTCCCTTCCTTCTCTTTTCTTTTTTAGTCTTATTTCATGCTGAACTTGTACTAATAAGTTTCAAAGCTCTTATGGAGCTTGCTTTTACTTTGTAATATAATTTGAAAATATTTTTGTTCTAAGAAGCGTCTGAAGATCCCTTTAAAACAAGATTTACTTGGGGGGGTGCATGTGCACGTGTGTGTGTGTGTGTGTGTGTGTGTGTGTGTGTGTGTGTGTGTGTGTGTGTGTGTGTGTACCTATGCTTGCACAGAGGCCAGAAGAGGACGCACCTGTAACCCTGGAGCTGGGGTTACAGGTGTTTGGGAGATTGGGAGATGCCTGGCTTATTGTGTGGGTGCTGGGATCCAAGTTCCAATCCTCATGCTTGGGCAGCAAGACTGTTAAGGGCTGAACCATCTCTCCAGCCCCTTTTAAGCCATATTTTAATTGGATCCATTTTTTTTAACTTTCAAGGTAAAACAGAAACACATTTTATATATTATTTGACATTTGTATTTGTTATTTTGTATAAAGTGTTGGGAAATTCGATCTGTGTTTATTAATATGATCACTTGTGGATTCTACAATTGACCAAACCCTGATTAGGGTTCTAACAACATAAACATAATAAGAAGCAGCACTCCTTACCTCAGAAGTTCACTGTCTCATGTGGACCGCAAGGGAATTATTTCATGTACACCAGTCTCCCCACCCCATTCGCCCAGAACTGACCATTCTCCTTTTAGTTAATATGGGCTCTTGTGGTTTTACCCTTTTCTTTGGATAACGTAACTGAACCATATTGTACTTTATCCCATGCAGGGCAGCCACTGATCACAATGTGGATAATACAACTGAAATCCTCAGGGAGTGGTTGAAAAATGTACAGAGGCTCTATCACTATGTGGAGTGGAGGCCTATGGATGACCCAGAGTGAGTAGCAGGAGCAAATTTTCTAACTCATCTTCCTCAGCTGATTTTCCAGCCATCTGGGCTTCCAATATTGAGAGCACATCCGAATTTTCATTGCCTTTCCTTTCTGTATCTAAATGAGTTGCAAATATGGCTATTTCTTTTCTTAACAGGTCTTCATAGTTCTCTCTTCCTTTTTACTCCTGGGGCTGCCAGCCAAGTTTAGGCTTTCAATAGTTCATAAATTATCATGGGAGCTGGAGAGATGGCTCAGCAGTTAAGAGCACTGGCTGCTCTTCCAGAAGACCCAGGTTCAGTTTACAGCACACACACGGAAGCTAACAACCACTGGTAACTCCAGTTCTGGGGTATCTGATGCCCTCTTCTGAACTACACAGGCTTTGTACAACATGGGTACACTTACACACATGCAGGCAAAACACTCATACACATAAAGATAAATGAGTGAATAAATAAAAATAAGTTATTATGATAGTATATATTTTTAAAGATTGATGTTATTTATTGATTTTTGAGTAAAAAACATTTAATTTTGAGAGATCATGGTGAAATTTTTGTATATCTTCTATATAAACTTTGCTTTTAAAAGTTATCATAACTTGAAAACTATTACATAGTAGCAATCAAGGAGCTTCTTCCTTTTGAACTGCCTAGTATCTATTGTGTGGATACACCATAATTATTTAGTCATTTCCCTAGGAATGGACATTTAGGTTATTTCAGTCTTAACCATAGCAATTTCTTAGTCACTTCTTTCTGCAAGTCATCATACACACCTATATTAGATGGGATTCTTTTGAGAAAGGGAATCAAAACGAAGAAAATCAAATCATATATAGAGAGAATATTATACATACAGTGATTTATTTTTAGAGCCCTGATTAGGGTTCTAACAACATAAACATGGTAAGAAGCAGCACCTCTTCAGAAGTTCACTGTCTCATGTGGACCACAAGGGAATTAATTCATGTATACCATCCCCCACCCCCCCACCCCCAGAAGTGACCATTCTCCTTTTAGTTAATATGGGCTCTCATGAATTTACCCCCTTGTTTGGATAACATAGCTGGTTTACATCTCAGTTCAAGAAGATGGAGGCCTTAAAACAAGAATAACTAATGATGCAGCCTAAGGCTAAAGGCCTGGAAGCAACCTGGATAGTTGCTGGTTTGTGTTTCCATTGAAAGGCTGAAGGAGCTGGAGGCTGAAGGCCATGGGTAGTAGCAGCAGTCACTGACTCAAGGACAGCAGAGCGTGCATGAACTTGCTGGCTTCCTCCTGCCTCTACTTTTGTTTCTTCTAGGTCCCTAATCTATTGGACAGTGCACCTACATTCACAGGGATCTCCCCCATTCACTTGTGGTTCCATGTGCCATTTATGTCTGGAAATGCCCATACAGACACACCTGCAAGTATGCTTTACAAGTCTCCTTGGTGTCTCTCAATCCATTCAAGTAGACAGTCAAGTTTAGCCATCACAATACCATATTGTCAGACAAATCTGCCTAAAATACAAATCATTTCATTTCATTATTACAAAAATTCAAATGGACCTTACATACAGAATATACACAACAAAGTTCAAACATTTGAGACATATATCTATGAGTCCATAAACTTAGTACCCATGTTCCCTGTTCTTTCCCAAAGAAAATCTGCTTTATTCAGAATTCCTTTATTTTCACCTCCCAAACTTGCTGATACAGTTCCTGGAAGGACTTTTCTTCTGTGTAACCAACTCTTATCCTAAATCACACATGCTGCAGAAAGCAATTCTTAATTGTTCTAATTTCAAAGATCTAATTATTGTTCAACAATTGAATTGTTTCTTCTCTTTGCAATCCTTTTGACATAATACACTTAGCTCGTCTTAATAACTTCAATTTATGCATTTATTTTTCTAAATCGTGGGTTTTTGGAAGGAGCTAGAATATGAAAACACTTTTTATTTTCCCTCAGTGCTATGTTTTGGCAGGAACTAAATCAGTACTTGCTGGATGAACAAGTGAGTGACTAAAATAAAGAATAAATATATTTAAAACTTAGGACTGCAAATGTTCCCAAGGCTACTATAATTCCAACCTCAGGAATTATAGAAGGTGAATGAATGAATAGCCCAAGTTTCTGCACCAGATAACTCATTTATTGAAAGCCAAATATGTATAGTAATAACAACAAATGTCATTCCAGAACAAATTTATTATTTTAGACCCTATCATATACATATATACATATGGACATGTAATATATAAATAATATTTAAAATCCAAGCATATGGTTTATATATCAGGCAAAATTTTTCAATGAAGTTTGAACTCTATAAAAGATTTTAAACAATACTTTAGAGCTTCTTGTGATGGAATTTGGCCTAATTTTTAAAAATTATACAGGAAGATTTTTTTGTACCTACCTTGCCTCCTGAATATACTCTCTATAGCCAGTTTTATATTATATGCCAAGGTCAGTGTAAAAGTATTTCAGAGGGCATTAATTTTTGGCAATATATTCAGAAAAATAGGACTTCCACGAGTTTTCACTGAGGCCGTAACTGAGGAAGACTTCCGGAGACTTCCTGAGTTGTACATACCTTGTTAATTACATAACTTTATTTGTATAGTTTCAACCTCATTTTTTGTGATTTTTTTTCATTCACTAAAGCAAATATTCACTAAATTTTTCACTAAATGCCAAACAGACCTCCAAGAATATGAAGTGTAACAGCATCAATGTCCACACCAACTGAGAGTTTCCAGAAGGATTCTGGAGTAAGCACTGACTCACTTGCCTTCATGGCCATTAAGAGTCCTGGTCTGTCTTGTGACTTTCAGTAGAAATCCCTAGAGCATCATATGCCTCTCCATCGCCTCACTTCACCCAGGACAGATCCGTATATTCAGCTTCATTGAATCGTTACTGAGATTCCAACAAGTGAACTAAACCTTTGGTTTCTTACAAAACATACTTTTACACTGTGCTTTCAAATTTATTTGATAAGCTATATTAAGTATCTAAGGGTATAAGCATTGGTGCTAAATTGCGTGGATATAAATTCTGGCAGTTCCATTTACTAACTGTAACAGCAACCATTCTGTGCCAATATTCTGGTCATTGAAATAGAGAAAATCGTAGGACATGTTAATACAGCACTTGTTAGAACCCACTGAAGAAAAGTCAGGCAGAGTGGTTCTCAAGTAGTCCCAGCTACTTAGAAGGCTGAGGCAGGAAGACAGTTTGAATCTAGATGTTCAAGATCAACCTCGGCAACCTAGTGAGAACTTGTCTTCAAAGAGAAGGAAGAGGATACAGAGGGAGAGAAGGAAAACCCACAGAAATCTTTCATATAAAGACCCTGTGTTCGGTGAATAGCAAGTTTCTTAACTTTTCACTTGTCCCGCTTGGTTTCTCTGTGGTATGGAGAGGGTGATAACAATACTACTAATATTAGTTTCTCATTCCTAGAGTGGATGATGAAGGAGTGAGTCAGTGCAAGCAGACTTTGAGGTCAGGGCCAGATACACAAGGCACTCAGTAATTATAACCTATTCTTCGTTTAGATCTTATCCTGATGAAATTGGCCCAAAGCACTGGCCAAGTTCCCGATTTGCCCACGTCATGAAACTGCGACAGGCAGCCCTTCGAACTGCGAGGGAAAAATGGTCAGACTACATCCTGGTAAAAACAGATAATTGGTTACTTAACAATTGTTTTCTAAAATATATTCAAATCAGTTGTCCAAGAACCAGAACAATCAAAGCAAATTTTATTTTAGGCATCACCCCCCCGCCCCCCACCATGAGAAGTTGAAAGGAAAATTTTGGTAATATCGCTGTAGCTAGACTTCATCTCCCTCTCTGGCGTGCTTTATCAGTGAGTGAGTGCATGGGTGATAAGGCTTCTGAACTATTTGTCTCATATCAGAGGCATGAAAAACTTTAAATCATCTTAGTTCATGAAGAAAACTGTAGGTAAAACAAGATAAAATGTCTTAATAACTTCTTGTAAGAATTTTACTTCCGAATAATTCAGGAAATAGAATATCCTATTTGGTTTCCTGGCTTCTACCAAGTTTCTCATGCAGAACTCCTTCCATGAAGAGGCTCCATCACTTCCCTGAGAGCTTACAAAGTGGTCCACACAAACATTGAGCTTGGGGGTTAGAAGTCCATGTGTCCTCATCCTCAATGAATAATCTCAGTTAAAAAGGAGGGCAGCTGCCAAAGGACCAGGGAGCTCCAGCCCTTTTCCCTACAGAAGCTTTTTGTCCCACAAGTTCATTGGGTAAATGTTTTCCAGAAAAGCACTGGAAATGACACCAATAAAGCAAAGCCAGAGTCATTGTATTACAATACAGATAACTGCTTCCACTGGACTCTGATTCCTAACAGGAAGTATTTTTAATTTTAAAAAGATTTTGTTATACATTTATGTTTGTTAGCATATAAATAATTGGGTTTCATGGTGACATTTTTCATAAAAAATTGTTTTTATTGTTTCTCTACTCCCCCCTCTTGTGCTCTCCACTCTCTGTGTATCCTTCCTGTTTTCATGTGACTCGTGTCCTTTTGTCCTCTCACCCCCTAATACCTCTCTCTCCTGACCTATCTAGTTTCATGGCCTATACCCACTTTCACTCCCCCTTATTTCCATTCATATAAACCTTAAACATTAGGATCTGAGCACAGGAGATGTCTCAGAGTGCTTGCTGCACTGAGGACCTGAGTTCAAATACCAGAACCCACATAAAAATACTGGGATTGGCCTCACCATGAACAGCAGAGACAGAGGATCATGGGGCCTTCAGGCCATCAGCCTAGTTCCAGGTTCAGTGAGAGGTCCTATCTCAAGGCAATGAAGGGAGAGTAACAGAACAGGATACCTGATCTCCTCTGGCCTCCACATATCACACATGTACATACACCACATGCACACTCACACACAACAGCAACAATAACAAAATAATAAGGAGAATTGGCCACGGTTAGGATGTGACTATAAGAGAAAACGTACAATTTTTATCTGACTCTGAGTCACCTCACAATATAATGTTCCCTATATCCATTAATTTTCTGACATATGTCCCTCCCCATTCCCTTCAACCATTCTAAAGTCAGCCTAATAGTATTTTATACACACTTTCAACACATATAATTTTATAGAAATTTGCAAAATTGTGCTGACACTAGTTAGTGTTATATGTAGCTATTGAAATGTCATCTAAACATACAAATGCCAACTATAAGATTTTTTCACATGCTAATGGACTACTGTAAGATGAATGCTTCTGGTTAGTTGCTAACTGTGAAAAAATACAAGTACAAATAATATGAAATCTATCATCTTAGCCTTTTTAAATATACAATTGGTGAGATCAGTTCCTTTTGATTCTGTCTCTATAAATGAATCAGTGTTGACATGCACTTCTCTACTGAGAAACTTATGTTACTTGGTTGGCATGGGTTGATAAAATGTACTTTAAACAAATTTCTACTTGTAATATTAAAATAGCATTGTTGATAGTCCCAGCACTCGGGAGGCAGAGGTAGGTGGATCTCTGTGAGTTCAAGGCCAGCCTGGTCTACATAGTGAATTCCAGGACAGCTGGGGCTACAGGGAGACCCTGTCTCAAAAAGACCAAATAAATAAATAAATAAAATAAAATAGCATTGTAGAATCTGTTCTGGGCCATTGTGGCAATTACTACAAAAGATATAAATAGAGCTACCCATCAGTATTGAGAATAGGCACTCAATATGTGTTTTTGAATGAATCTGTAAGGGTCAGTGTCTTGAACTGAAACTACCAAACAATGTATGGGTTGTGTCTTGGTTCAGTCTGCGCAATGCTAGTTCATAGCTTTCTGGCTTACACAGAGCTGAACATGGGAAGGTAGACCAAGCATATTTGACTTCATGAAAGTTGCCCAGCTGCAATGGCTCTCACTATGGAGGATGAAAAGTAACACTGGTTCCAGATCTCATAATCCCTTAGGATACACTGTTGTTGAGCCCTTTATGAAAAGTATTTTTCCCCTGACATTTTCCTTCTCTTTTCCTAGTTCATAGATGTCGACAATTTCTTGACTAATCCACAGACCCTCAACTTAATGATTGCAGAAAACAAAACCATTGTGGCCCCCATGCTGGAATCCCGGAGCCTATATTCTAACTTCTGGTGCGGAATCACACCTCAGGCAAGTCTTTTAGTTGATGAATTGAGACGATGCATTTTGATAAGGCAGTACCATGTCCACGGTAGCCCCCTTCACTTTTTTTCTTGACTCCTCTCTTGAAGCATGTATAGCATTGTGTTGTTAAAACACAGCATTTCCAGGAAAGAAAGTAAATCCAGATCTAATGCCACAATCCAATGGGCTCCTCTATATTAGTTAGTAAAAACGTGCAGTAAGCTGGGCATGGTGGAATTCCAGTACTCAGGAGACTGGAGGCAGGAGGGTCTAAAGTTCAACGCCTTGGGGTAGGGAGATGGCTTAGTAGATAAAAGAGATTGCCGGGGAGGACCTGAGTTTGAATCTGCACCACCCACATAAAAAGCTAAGGGTGGTCACATGTGTGCCTATAACCCCAGTGCTGTAGATGGAGACAAAAGGATCTCTGGGGCTTGCTGGCTCCCAGTCTCCTCCAGGTTCAGTGATAGACCCTATCATAAGAGAGTAAGAAGGACAGTGATAGAGCAGGACAGCTGATGACCTCCTCAGGCCTCCACCAGCACTCAGGAGTACATGCACCTACATGAGCGCGCGCGCGCGCGCACACACACACACACACACACACACCACTATACGCATATACCACCCATGAAAAAACAGGCACAAGCTAATAGAGAGAGAGAGAGAGAGAGAGAGAGAGAGAGAGAGAGATTTTTTTCAAGGCTAGTTGAGCATGATGATACATGCCTGCATGCCTGTAATCCCAGAATTTTGGAGGTGAGAGAAGCAGCATCAGGAGTTTGTGGTCATCCTCAGCTGCATAGGAAAGTCAAAGCCAGCCTAGGTTACATGAGACAGTGTCTGAAACATCAAACAAACAAAACAAAACAAAAACAGAAAATAAGAGTTCAAGGCTAGTCTAAGCTACATAGTAAAACCCTATCTGAGAAAAAAATCCTCACCATTCCCGTGAAAACTAACATGATTTTGTTTTACCCATTTTTAGCTACCAACATCTCAAATGGTTTGCAAATTTCTGGAAATTTAACACTCAGTGGCTCCACCATTCCATCAGACCAGGAATTCCTCTTCCACTGCAATCATATCCCCCAGTGCCAAGAGATTTTGAATGGTTTTTACTATCCGTGTGTCTTTAAGGGCACAAGTTCATATGTCTAAAGTTCATTTTGTTTCTTGGGAGAAAACATATGAAGTTAGCTTAAACTCTTTGTTAATAATCTGCAGTGTTCCACACAGCAGAGCCACTTGAGGCTTGTTTTTAAAGAGATCTGCTTTGCCACCAACAACAAGGGTGGGAGGTTATGCGGTGACCGCAGCCTCCAAGTTGCTGTTAGTTCATTATTAAAAGCAAGTAGGAGAAATGTGCTCACTTATTTTGCACAGTGAAACTCAACTTTGTGCAACTTGGGCCAATTATAATCTCCCTCGTCTGGTTCTGGCTTTCTTCCACCCTCGTCAGTTTTCTACTTGGACAGGAATGGAAACAGCCAATGACTTCATAAACTTAAGGCAGCTCTGCTTTCCAGAGCCTTTAAACACATCCAAAGCAAAATGATCTTGGTGTTGTCTGGCCAATGAACAGGAATTAATACCCCCCCAAATTCTATTTTTGTGAAAAGAAAGACACAGCCATTGTGTCTGCCACTCTGTGGGACCATGCCCATTCACTGCCTCCTTCCCTACCATCATCCTTCCCAAGATATTCAAAGACTCATCGTCATCATGAATTTTCCAAATTTCCCATTCTGGAAATATTAAGACATCTCAAACCGTATATTGACATGAGTCTGTAGGGAGCTCTTAAAGAACCTATGTTCCCTTTATCCCTGAGAGAACTCTTATACACTGAAACATTAGAAGAGGCCAGAGCTTAAACACAATCTAAGATCAAAGACCTAGCACATTGTTAAGACAAATCCAAGCCACATCTGTAAGTGTCAGTTTGTGGTCCTTCTACTTTATCTTATGGTTCGTGTTAGGGTTAGCTCAGCTAGAACTCTTCCACACATTGAAGGGTGTGTCACAGAAGTAGAAGAGGCTATAGTTCCTGATGTGTGGTGCTGAAATACAGTGGGAAATGCACAATAAAGGGATGGCAGTGATTATGGAATACTTAAGAACTCACATATCCAATGAGCATTTGTCCTTCACAGTGGTAGTCTTGTGTAACTTTCCATTTATTCAACCGAGCCTGTCATCCCCTAGAACATGCCTTTTTCAATGTCTTTCAAAGCTTCTACATACTTTGAAGTAGATTTTATTAAGATATATTGTCCTTTTCCTGGAATGTTTTCATAGTCATTATAATTGGTACCTCTGGAGTACAAAGTTCTCTACAAGATTCTATACTTCCTGAGGGTTAAGCCAGAGCTATCTTATTTCTTAAGTCTCTAAACATTTATCACAGTGCCTGGATTACAACAGGTGCTGCTCAGAGGATATTTGATGAATGAACAATTAAGTTTGGAAGGAAAATAAATTGAATCATGCCAAAGTTGTTGAAAACCACAAAATGAGAGAAGGGTTATCCTGTGCTCTTGTACAGGAGGAAATTTCAAAAGATGAATCCCCCAAAAGTATGGAGCAGTTGATACTCCACTGGAATATCAAACAAGCAACTGCACTGAAAGAAAACCCTCGTGTGTTATGCCTAAGTAATGCATGTTTTAAGAACATTAGCCATAGCGTAATATAGTCATTTTAATACTACCCAATACTTACTGCTGTTTTCTTGATGTTAGGCATTATTCTAAGCACTGGTAGTCTTATCTTAATTATACAGAAAACCCTCTGGGGTAGATAATGTTGTCCTTCCTGTTTTAGAGCCTAAGAAAAAGGAACAGCAAGTTGAGACATCTATAGGCGCCTACAAACAATAGGCTGAAGGGAGGTTTGAAATTAGAGGGTGTAACAACAGGTCATGCATTTGTTCTTCTCTGCTCTCTCCACTCCTCATACTCATCCTTCACATCATCCATAGGACAACATATACTATACTTCCATGAAATTATTGAATCAGGAGAAACTGAATCAAAAGCATTCCTGTTATCAAGACACACACCCCCCATATGTTTTAAATACAGACTGTATTTCTTGAGCTCATTTGAAAGTTCTTGGTTCCAGGTAAGAAGGGTGGAGGTGCTCTGGAGACTTCTCTTGACCTGTGATGGCTTAGAAGGAAATCTATCCAGCAGATGACTGGGAAATGATGCTTTCAGATGATAGAACATAGCCCATCTATTTGCTCTTTTCCAGGGCTTCTATAAGAGGACCCCAGACTACCTTCAGATTAGAGAATGGAAGAGGATGGGTTGCTTCCCTGTCCCCATGGTTCACTCTACCTTCCTGATTGACCTCAGGAAAGAGGCCTCTGACAAGGTGGCTTTCTACCCCCCACACCAGGACTACACATGGACCTTTGATGACATCATTGTCTTTGCCTTCTCCAGCAGGCAAGCAGGTATTGTTTATGCTTGGCTGTAGTGTCTCCATTGAAACACTGCAAATGACCAGCTCCTGCATTTGGGGCATTATACTTAAAAATACTCCTATCTCAGTTTTTAAAAAGTATTCCAGCTGGGTGTAGTAGCACATGCCTTTAATCCCAGTACTCGGGAGGCAGAAACAGGCAGATCTCTGTGAGTTCAAGGCTGGCCTGGTCTACATAGTTCCAGGACAGCTGGGGCTACAGGGAGACCCTGTCTCAAAAAAGACCAAAAAAAAAAACAACAAAAAACAAAAAAAGTATTCCATTCCAAGTATGTTAGAGGCAATGAATTGTTTCTAGCAATCATGCCGGAACCTTCTGTGTTGGGGTGCCTGAACACCAAAGACCAAGAGCCAGGATTGGTCCCTACCCAGAACTCCACCCCTTTGGGGGAGGGTCTGAGTTGACAGGGAGAGAGTAGTGATGGTTTGAGAATCTTGAAAATCTCAATGGCTTTCTGATGCTAATGATATTATTGTCACTAATTATAGGAGTCTCTTTATTAAACTGGAAAGTATAACAGAACAACATTGGTGAGTCTCCAGGCTTCACAAACGGATGTTTATTTCTTTTCATAAATAATCTGGGCTGTTTTAATCTCTGTCCCACTGTTTTCAGCATCCTGGATTCCTTTATATTGCCTTTCCATGCTCCAGGAGGGATTGCCCTTCATTGTAGGATCCAAGGTGCCTCACCACCAAGGATGCACCAGCCATCAAGGCAGAAACAGGACTATGGCACTCTGTCCCTATCAAAGTGCAGTCCAAAGGCTGAACACAGCATTTCCATACATGACTCCTTAACCAGAATTTAGCAAGAAGATGATTCCTAACTATGAGGGAGGCTCAGATGTCATATCTATTCTGTGGAGTCGTAAACCTCAGCTCTCTCATTCTAGAAGAATAGATACCGGAGGCAGCCAGGAGTCTCAGTCCCCACCTCCACGGAAGGAGAGGCAAAGTCAGACAATTTGATGAGTCGCTAGAAAAGCACTTCCACTCCCAGGAGTCTGGAGGCTCCTTGAGAAGGACAAATCAGAAGAAAAGTTGGGTTTTTTTCTTCTTCTCCCTCCCATGCCATCAGGTAGGACTAATTCACAAAAACAGCTCAGGAAAATACATGACATTACTAAAGCAAAACTTTCTTGAGTAATTCAGATCTTTCTGACTGCAGTCAGGGCCCATTATCAATATGCCTCTTAGCCTCTAGCAAAATGGGTTTAGAAACTAAGAAGATGGTGAAGTAAACTCACTGTGGTCACCTAAGTTATGGTGAAAATGATTTCACGAAGCCTCTAGGCAGCTGGGGAGATTCTGAAAGATGAGAAATGTTAACACAAATCCTTTAGGGCTGGTTTGGACCATTGATTGAATTTCTCCCTTAGCGGCTTGCATAATACTCTCTAGAATTATAAGAGCTAGAAATCCAAGATAAAACTCACACATCAGGCCATAGATGTCCCACTCACTGACTGTACCTTTGAAAAGAAAGGATATGTCTTAGAAATGTGTACGGCTGATTTTCCCATTAGCTAGAGTGATTTAGATGGCTTGGCTTTTGTAAGCATTTTTCCAGACTTGTGTCAGGGAGAAGGCAAGCCTCAGGTGGTTTGGAAGTTTGCATGAAGGTTCTTCTGTCCATGTTAATGGAAGCTGCTTCTTTCAGTTTGATGTGTGGTTTGCTATGACTTCTCCAGGACAATAAGCAGGGGCAGGGCCTTCCTGTTCCTGCAAGTTGTGCCAGTACTTTGCTTCAGAGCTTGAAACAAGAATGTTCCAAGAAAGTGAGCTGTGAATAATTATGAGTGAGATGGTTACTGCCTAACAGAGATGTCCTGGATAGTCATTGCATAAGGCATTATTTTGATTGGTATAGTAAACTATGATGATACCTATTTTTAAACGAGTACCTGGACATTTGGACTGGGAGAGTGGTACAGACCGGATTAGAATTTGTCATCTCTGCCCTTTCTTCGATATGTTTATAAGGATAGACTCCCAAGCCTCTTTGTGGGACATTGAAAGCAGGTCAGGATGCTCAGAGCTGGTGGTGAAGCAGCTGGGGAAAGAAGAGTTTCGTGGAGAGGGAAGGAGAAGCTCAATCTACCAGGTTCCACTTTGCTGTCTAACGTTGTGTTAGAGTTTGTGTTTGTTGGGGAGTTCAGACCTTTAGTTGTGAAAACATAGCTAAATTTTTGACAATGCTGCATACTGAGGGATAGATCAGTGGTACCAACTGCAAACAAGACAACAAAGAATCAGTCAAGGCGATTTCCTAACAATTGTTGTTCTAAAGTAGTATTTCACCATTTCCGGGAAAACCATGAATGAACCTGGGAGCCATGTGCAGCCTGTGGCACGTCTTGATGTGCTTCCTTTCCTTGCTTCAATGCAAAGCACTTCCCTCTCTCTTGAGAGTCTTGTTGAAAAATCCTGATATTCTTTCACTGTTCCAAAGTTCTCTAGCTGTGTGTTATCCATTGGAACATCATTATTTAAATGTACAATGAAAGCAAAATGTCTATTTGTCTGTCTATCCTAAGCAAGACCATAGAACCACACATCTTGCCCTTTAAAAGCAAAACTATGGGAATGATGAGTGACAGAGTCATTCCAAGGGTTTTGGTGACTCTGCCATGGATAGCTATCTAGTCCAAATAGAGAGCACAGTGTCATAGGCAAGTCTCTGTGCCTATAAGGAGGCCAGAGTCAAGAGTTTACCTCCCATGTAGCCAGTGATATGGGTTCTACACCATGGCCACAGGAGTCATCCTTGGCACCAGTCAGGCATATTCCAAACGTCTGTAAGCCACATACAGTAAGTGATGTGGGTAACGGGCAGACAGACCTACCTCAGGAGCATCACTGGTGGTGTTCAAAAGTGCCTTCCTGCATGGAGATAACAGTCCCAGGGATTAGTGGCCCTGAGACCAGGGTGCTGAATTCCAGGTGGATAGAGAGCAAATGGAACTGGCCCTCAGGGACAAAGATTTGCCTCTAATGACTCACTGTGTGGCCCTAGACAGTTCACAGCCTGAGTCTGTTTTTGTTCATCACAAGGAAGGAGACCACGTACCAGTCTTCATTACTTAGGTACATATGAGCACAAAAGAGTATGGTGTCTTTGTAAGAAAAGCAAAGCTCTTCCCTTGTAATATTCACCTTTCTTTCTCATAAGACCTTTCCCTAGAAACTTTCACTAGAAGGACCAGATCTTTGCATAGATTTTTATCTAATTTTCAACACATTTCCTTCTTAACTTTTTTTAAATCAAATTACCCATACAAGAGTTCAGTAGAATTCAGTAACCTAAGATTTATTACATGAACACTTTCTACATACCACTCTTGCAGATGGTTGTAACAGCATAATATTTATAGTTTCGCTTCTAAAGAGCATGCATGTGTTGCTACTTTTGCATTTTTGGTCTTTATTTCAGACTTTAAAAATCGACTCTCCACTATAGGCGTTTGCTTTGCCCTCCCATCACCCTGTCTTCTGGATGTAATTTTAAATGCTTGGTATCAGGGCTGGAGAGGTGGCTCCGCAGTTAAGAGCACGGGCTGCTCTTGCAGAGGACCTGGGTTCAGTTCCCCTCATCCACATGGCAGCTTACAACTGCTTGCAACTCCAGTTCTGGGGATAGGATGCCATCTTCTGGCCTCTATGGGTATTTCACACATGTGATGTATGTGCGTACAGGCATTCTCTCACATAGACATAAAATAAAAATAGTTTTTTAAAAGATACTGGGTGCTTTTATATAATCAATGAACCTAAACCCCCAAGATCAGTCATTAATAGACTATATATATTTTCCTTCATCAAACTTAATCCCTTCTCTGTATGTGTATATGTGCACATGATTACTAATGTAATTGAAAAATAATCATTTATTTTCTCAAACTTCTCTTAGCATGTTCAGAATTATCAGATGATCTCTTCGTTTGTGAAGGTGTCTGTCTTGGACTCTTCTGGTAACACTCTAATCTCAGAGCTGTCACAGCCATCAACCCGGGACTCAGTTTGCTTCTGTCATGCATCAGCTCTCTGGCTTTGTGTCTCGAACCCTTCTTGTGCATGGTGATCCTCCTTCTTCTCCCCCTTCTTACCCTCCTCCTCTTCTCCCTTACAGGCATCCTCTTCATTATTCAGTAACTTTCTGAGGAAGTGTGATGGGAAATAAATATTTTATGATCTTGCATGTCTGAAAATGTCTTTCTTATACCTTCACACTTGATAGATAGCTTGGCTAGGTACCATATTCCCTTTGTACGAAAACTTTGGAAAGCTAAATGGTAAAAAGGTTTGTCTAACTAGCATAGAGGCAACCTAGCTATACATCTTGTTCTTCCATTTCCTGATTTCATTACAATTTTGTAAGAGGTACGTATTGGTTTGCAGTTCTCAGAAGCATTCACATGAGCAAACAGTACAGCTAGTGAGTTTACTTGGAGAAGACAGAAGTGACAGGGCCTGGTGAAACTGAGCAGATTCAGTGGAGGTGGAGAATAAAGGCCTTTTTCAACCCTGTTCTTTTCTGTTAATGCCACAAGACAGCTTCACCTGGCATAGCAGGTGATGCAGCTGACTGCTGGAACTTTTATCTACCGAAAATAAAGATGTCTCTATGACGAGAATTTCCTCAGGAAAATGAGGATGATTGCAGCAACCAACAAATCAGAGGCTTAGCTGCATGACCCAGAGCTTGGCAGCCTTGTCCTTCTACTAAGGAAGCTTTGGATTAGCCGGGACTGTCTACCGCTGCGCCTATGTGAAACCATCTTTGTTCCTTCATTCCTGGTTGTCCGACTGAACACAGATGCTTTATAGTTCCCCCAATTCAAGGGGGTGGGGTGTGAAGACCATATTTGGATATGAGAGGATCATGAACTCGCTAACATTGTCAAGCTGTGGGTTCTTAACAGGACTTGAGAAGAAGGATTTCTTTTGTCCCTGTGTGAACTTTTTTTGGAAGTTTTGTCTGTTGGTTCACTCCAAACCAATGCCAGTACAGGGGAAAGTAATCAAGGAAAAATTTAAATTTCCTTTGTATTTTTAAAACGTTTTTGTTCTCTGTGTGCTTGGATTTAGCCTTAATAATCTGTCAGTCTTGTGGGAGCTCCCCTTTTGCTTTCATATCAAATATGGATTTCATTCCCCATCTTCTCATTATTTCCTGTGTGTGGATTACCGCATTCCCTTCTGCTCTCCGGAATGGGAATTCCGTGCCTCCCTTTTGATTGCTTCTTGCCTTTAGTGTTCGTCTCAGGCCATGGGTGCACTTTTCCTTCATAAAGAAAAATCAATTTCCTCTGCACTGAAGAATGGCCCAGGATTCTTAAGAGCCCCTGATGCTGTTTTGCCTTTCTAATACAAGAATATTTTTAAGATTTGCAGACAATACCCAAAACAAAGCACTTGTTCAATTTCAGTGTCAACCACAACCCTCCCTCCCCTCCCTCAGCTGTCACTAAGAAGTGTGTCTTCTTGTTGGTTGACTCTGTTCCTCTCTTGGCTTCTCAGGCATCCAGATGTACCTCTGCAACAGAGAGCACTATGGCTACCTGCCCATTCCTCTGAAGCCCCATCAGACGCTGCAGGAGGACATCGAGAACCTTATCCATGTTCAGATAGAAGCAATGAGTGAGTGACCCAGGAGCCATTGTCACAGTAACCAACTCAGCCACATCCCTCCTCTTCTAGGCCTGCCATCTCATGGCCTCTCTTCTGCCTTCCCTGAAGCACAGCTATTCATCTGTTCATTCATTCTTGAATTTTTCCTATGAAATACAAGTAGGACAAGGCCAGTGCCCTCAGGGAGCTTTCTAGCCCGGTGGACAGCTGGACCACAAGTAAATGTTCTTTACATGATGTAGTAAGTGCTATAATAGTGCTTTGTGAAATGGATTTTAAGTCCTGTCTTTGCTGCTTTCTAATTTTATGACTTTGGGCAAGTAACTGCTGTATTAAGGTAATAGAAATTTCCAAGGTTGCAGGGCAGACTACTGTGTGTGTGTGTGTGTGTGTGTGTGTGTGTATATATGTGTATGTGTGTGTGTATTTTGTTAACTTCAACTTAACAACAGCTTATGACATTTTGTGCATTGTCTCTAATCCTCATAACAACTCCTTAAAAGAATACTATTATCCCCATACTCAAGATGAAGAAATTGAGGTATAGAGAACTTAAGTAACATTCCACATCATTCTATCATTCTACTGAAGACAGATCAGAATTTGAATCAAGTGTTTTCTCCATATCTGATGTCCTTAAACACTTATTGTCATTCTCCCTTGAGTCTCACATGATTTCAGAATTTACGGTATGTTTAATCATCAGTAGCTAAGTTACTGGTGTCCAGTGAAGAAAAGGTAACTGATCCACCAGTCCCAGGGAGGAAGTTGGCAATGGCTTCCCAGAGAGAATCTTTTCTGTTACTCATCACAGTGAAGGTGGATGGGAAGCACAGTGGACACTGAAGCTGGAAAGCGGCTAAGAGCCCAAGCAGGAGCCTCCGATGACTTAGAAGACATCTGGACATTTCTTGAAGGGAGGGAAGCTTTTGAAAGAATCCAGTCTTAGAAATGTCAGGTTGAAATTAGGATTTGGGGAGGTCACTCTGGTGTAAGAGAATTAGTGAACGGATCATGAGCCAGCAGTGGGTGCTGGTCTACAGTAAAGCTGAAGAGCATTTAGACATTACATAGCAAAGTAGGCAGAGGATAGGGAGGATCTGAGCTGGAGCAGCGGTCATGGGAATGAAAAGGGAAAAAAAAAAAACAGAGTAAGAGAACTCAGGACATAGATGTGAGAGGATACAGCCAAGAGTTGACTGCAAGTGGGTGAGGAGAAGGAAGCACCAATGTCTGGGTAACTTTAGGAATTTTAAATAGAATAAGGCATTCAGAATAAAAGAGAGGTTTGAAAGAAAGTTTATTTTTAGATCCATTAAATTGTCTGTATCTGCTTCCCACTGTTCACTAGACTATAAACTTTTGTATCATGTTAGTCTCAGGACCTAGCATAATGACCATCAGCTGATAGATATCCAATTGATATTGGTTGCTGGATGAATTAATTAATTAATTAATTAATTAATTAATTAATTGTAGAACAAGGGTTATTTCATTATGGCAGTGTTTCTTGGACCAGCCCTTAGGAATAATTTTTGTGAATTTCTCTCTCTCTCTCTCTCTCTCTCTCTCTCTCTCTCTCTCAGAGAGAGAGAGAGAGAGAGAGAGGCTGGTGCACATGTGTATGTGTATGTGTATGTGTTATATGTGTATGTGTTCATGTTTGTATGCACATGTGCATGCAGGTATAGGTTAATGAGCACATGTGGAGAGCAAAGGTCAAAGTTGTGTGTCTTCCTCTATTGCTTTTCCCCCTTATTTTTGAGGCAGGATCGTTTCACTGAACCTGCAGTTCACCAGTTGGCCACCTGCTGGACAGTGAGCTCAGGGCATCTGCCTGCTGTGTGCACCTCTTCACCAGTGCTGGGGTGGCAGGTGTGCACCTGGCTTTTATGTGAGTGCTGGAGATCTGAACCAAGTCCTCATGCTTGTATGCCAAGCATGTCTTCAGTACTGTTTCTGCCTCTTTCCCTATGCTCCAGGCCCTAAAGACAAGGTTTGTATCCCAAGCACCTAGCATAGTACATGGTATATACGTGCTACCAAACAAATATTTTCTGAATGAATGAACAGATGATTGGATAAATGAAAATAAAATGAATGAGAACTCTGTTCTCAAGAGCGCTGAACCTGGAGCCAGAATAATCATCCTGAACTCAGGCTCTGTCACTTATGAAAAGAGAGTCACTTTTAGCAACACTTCAGAAGGGTGGAAAAAAACAAAACACTGCGTGTGTGTGTGTGTGTGTGTGTGTGTGTGTGTGTGTGTGTGTAGATAGGTCAGGTTCATGAAATGATGACATGTGACCATATTATGACTTCATCAGCACTTGGTGAAAGTGATTTCCCTTACCATTCTCACTTCATGGCTTCCAGCCTTGACTGCCAAGTAAATGACAGCTGACAGAGAGGCCACCGGAAGCTTATGCTATCTTGTCTTCATGACTGAGCATGTAGAAAGTTCTCAGTATGCAAAGATATACGCATTGTCAATAAAGACCTTAGTGATTATAAATTGCTAATATACATGACTCCTTTTCTAGCCAGGTATAGACTTCATTTGAGAAGAACCCGTGGCTTACTTTCAGGATTGATCTCTCTACATGTGGCAACTCTAGTGTTAAGTGATGTATAAATGATACTTTATCTAATTCTTGTATTTAGTCTATGTAGTTATAATTTTGCTAAACATTCACATTCTGAATTTTATTATATAGAGCATAATTGGAATAATAAAACAGTTGGAAAACAAAACTTTGAGGGTTATAATGCAGAAATATAAACTGAAGGCCCAAGTAGGATGAATAAAATGTTGGTAATAATGAAATCATATCTGTCAAATATCCTCTAAGTAGAAATGAGCTAGATATTGAAAACACTTCACACAGGATCTAGAACTCAATAGGTTGTAAAAAATGGTGCTGACAGTGTTATCAGACAATAATGACAGAAATATTAGAACATGTGCTTTTAAATGAATAAATGTGGAATCCTTACCTGTGATGTGAGTCACTCTATGAAGGTACTAGAAAACCAAAACATTTGTGCTAGTTTTTACTGTTGACTTAGCACAATCTAGAGTCATCTGGGGAGAGGGAACCTCAATTGAGTAACTTCCCAGATCAGATTGGCCACAGCCAGGTCTGTGAGCAATTGTCTTGATTCATGATTGATGTGGGAGGACCCAGCCCACTGTGGGTGGAGCCAACCCTAGTCAATTGGACCTGGGCTGTATAAGGACCCTAGCTAAGTATGAGTCAGATTAAGGAAATAAACAGCCTTCCTCTCTGGTTCCTCTGCTCCCACCTTGAGTTCGTGTCCTAACTTCCCCTCAATAATGGATTGTGACCTAGAGTTATAAGCTAAAATAAACACCTTCTTTTCCAAGTTGCTTTTCTTCAGACTGTTTTATCACAGCAGCAAAAAATAACTGGAACAACATTTTACAACCATTTCTCAGTTTTCAGGGGATTACAGTTTAATTGAGGAGACAGGAGTGATATAAAAGAAGATATCAACAACGTACTACGCTGTAAACAGAGCTTATAAAAGGGCAACACAGATTTGTTGTTAGAGCGAGGTTACTGGGGCCTGTGTGGTCCAGGAAAACATCAAGTCCTAATGCTGCTTAAGTTGAGCTTGGATAGAAGCGTAGAGTTTAAACAAGAGAAGTGATACGATCAGGACACTGCAGACAGAGGAAAGAGGCTAAGCACACAAAGACTTTCCACCCTAGAAGAAAGTAGGTTTAAAGCAGTAGAAGGAAAAAGAGTTTGAGAAGTTAGAGTGACTTAATTGCCATGCTCCTTGAATATCCAGCTAAAGCAGAAAATCCATCCTGAGAAGCCAATGAAGGCTTTAAAAAAAAGGATCACGCTATAAACATTTACTCAACACATGCTATGCTCCAAAATTTCCCATGATGTTGGGAATGAACAAATGAAGCAGAAACCTTGGCTTCAAAAACTTATATTTTAGCAGAGAGAACAGACACTGTGTCAAGGAAGCCGTCTTTGGGAGAAGAGTTCCAAGCATAAAGAACAGTACATAGAAAGACTACTTGAGAGGAAGAAGCTTGGGAACATTCCAGGGACAAAGGCCAGTGTGGTTGAGAATGAGGTGCTGGGTAGAGTGGGATGAAGTCATGGACAAATGCAGAACATCCTGGCCATGGCAAGGAATTTGGCTTTTATTCTAAGAGTAATGTGAACCCATGGGATGGTGTGATGTGATTTATGCATTTAGAAAGATCACTTAAGCCGTGGTGCGGATATTAGAGTATAAGGGATTAAATGCATTTCTCCTGCTGAGAGATGTTAGTGGTTGGGATTTGAGCTATAGCAATGAGGTAATAAGAAACAGATTTAAGATACATTTTGGTGGTAGATACAGAGAAACCATGAACAAAAGGAAGGAGTTGAAAACGACTTTAAAATTTTGCCTGTACTGAGTTGGAAAAAAGCTTTGCAGGGAAAGAGTTGATCATGTATGCTTAAGGTATTTATTGAATGTCTGAATAGGGAGATCAGGAAGTAATTGGATATATGGTTTGGGGAAAAGATTTCATCTAAAGAGAGAGAGACACTTGAGAATCACCAACACAGAAAGGATATTTGAGTCAAGGAACAGCGTGACCTCACCTAGTGAAAGGAAGGGTGGTCAGATCCCTGGAGAAGACTAACAGCCAGAAAGCTGGAAAGAAAAAAATGAGACGTATTTTAAGAAAGAGCCAAATGCTATTGAGAAGTCAAGTAAAATGAGGACAAAGAAGTAATCTTTGGTTATGTCAAGATGGAGCTTTGTTTATGTCAAGATGGAGCTTTGTGCCAGGTATGGTGGCTTTTGCCTGGATTCCCAATATTTAGGAGACTGAGGCAGCAGGGCTGCCTGAGCTGTACGGCAAGAGCCAAACTAACCTAGACTACAGAGTAAGGTTCTGGCTGGTGAGTAGAGGCAGAGAAAGAGACAGAGAGAGATACACACAGAAAGAGTACTCTGTCAACAATCTTGTTAAGAACTACTTTAGTGCAATGATAGAGCTACAAGCTAATTGGAGTGGGATGAAGAGAAGACCGTGGGAGATGAGAACATGGAGTCTTGATGGGATGTAAACTAAAGAAACGGATGGAGCTGCTAGGGAGTAACTAGTGTTGTGATTTATGGTTTTATTTGATTTCTTGTTGGTGTTGGTTTGCTTAAGATGGGAGTATTGCAGTTTGTGTGTGTGTGTGTGTGTGTGAGAGAGAGAGAGAGAGAGAGAGAGAGAGAGAGAGAGAGAGATGAGGAGGATCCTGGATATAAGGAGCATTGATAGTATAAAAGAGAAGATGCTTAAAAGATTACAGTTCTTGAGAAAACAATGGTTGTAGCCTAGGACAATAAAGGTTATGTTCAACAGAAATAGAAATGCTTGTCTTCTTTAACAGATGGTAAGGCTTAAACACAAATGCACATGCTTTGGGGTTTGTGGACTTGAGGATCAGCTTCTAGCACTTCTTTCTGGTTCTTCCTAAACTTCATTGCCACAATGACCTCTCTAATTGGGATCCTCACTCACCATGTCTGGGTTATTTCAATTTTTCGGTTTGTTTGGTTTTTTTGAGACAGGGTCTCCCTGTAGCCCCAGCTAGTCTGGAACTTTCTATGTAGATGAGGTAGATCTAATTTGATTCTGACTATTTTATACTTGCACTTGGGAAAGCTGTTGAAGATTTCAGAAAAGTGAAGGCATAAAACAGAACTCTGAAAAGTCGTGAAATGAGTTTACTATGCAAAGTATGTTTGATAGTACCGAATGCCAATTTGGCATCACTTTGAAACGACTCAGACGTGTTTGTGTGGAGTTTCAAAGATCACTGTGCAGTGATCTTAGTGCTGAGTAAATGCACAGTTGGATTTAACCAGGATTAGAATTTTATAAAGCAACACTAATGATGAAAAATTAAGGGACCTTACAAGAGAATGAATGGTCAAGGAATTTGTGACTTTTAGAAAAGTTTCAGAGACACAAAGAGAAAGAGTTTGAGTGGTGATCTTGTGCAGACAACTACAGATGTTGTGCATTCATGAGTGTGGTGGTCATATCATGTCCAGAAGATACTGTCTTCCTCCAGCCCTTCCCCCTGTGGCTCTTACAATCTTTCTGTCCCCTCTTCTGTGATGGTCCCTGAGCCTTGGGGGAAGAGGTGGTCTAAATGTCCCATTTATGGCTAAACACTCACTGATACTTATTCTCTGCATTTTGATCAGTTATGGGTTTCTATATTAGCCACACTCCACTGCATGAAGGAACTTCTCTGGTGAGTACTGAGCACTGCACTAGTGCCTACCTTTAAAAAAAAATTTAGGGATGATTTTTTAAAATATTTTATTTGTTATTTTTATTTTATGTGTGTGAGTGTATTGCCTGCATGTATGTGAGTGCACCCATGTCATGCAATGCTGCAGAAGTCAGAAGAGAGCTTCGGATTCCCCTGGAACTGGAGTTAGGGATGGTTCATAGCCACCATGTGGGTACTGGGAATCGAACCCAGATCCTCTGCAAGAACAGTCAGTGCTCTTAACCACTGAGCCATCTCTCCAGCCCCAAGATGGTGTTTTTTTATTGAGCTTTTTAAATTTCATACAACATTTCCCACTCAAATCCAGACCCCCTCCCCCATCCATACCGCCCCCATCCCCCCCACAAAACTGGTTCTATGCACTCTGCCATACAGGCTAAGTCCAATTCATTCAGGTGTTTGTACCCAAATGTCCTTCAGTGTAAATGCGTCCACTGGAGTCTAGTCAACCCATCCAGTGGTCGTATGTAAGTCATACTGTCCCTCACACAGGAGCAAGCAGTCTCAAATAGTTCTCAATCTAGTGCTCACCCACCACCTATTTCTCACCTCCCCTTTAGGCCCTTGTTTAATTGAGCTGCAATGGGTCCTGCCTGAGCTCAACGATGCCACCACTGCCACAGGCTCACATGAGCAAGCCTCCAGTGACCTGGAAGCTTCCACCTCCCTGTGTTCATGAACCATCCCTAGTTCTTAGAATCTTTCCACCTCCTCTTCTGCAATGGTCCCTGCGCCATGGGTGGGTGAGGTTCCACAGAGAAGCCCCACCCTACACTCTGCAGTCTCTTATTCTCCAAACTTGGCCAGTTGTGGCCTTCTGTGTACATCGCACTCTGATGTACATGGAAGCCTCACTACTGAGAGTTGAGGGGTGCATTAGGCTTTTCTATATCCCTTATTCTGCTGTGTTCCATGAGCCTTAGTTGTAGAGATTCTACTGCAGATGTGTCACCTAGTACTGGGCATCTCCCAAATGCCTACCTTTTTAAATATGGGGTGCTGGGGATCAAATTCAGATCTTCATTCTTGTTCAGCAAGCACTCTACCAACTGAGCTATCTTCCTAGCCCCCAAATGTGTGTGTTTGGTGAAAGCAAAGTGACTAAAAGCAATCTCTTTAACTGCTTTATTACGCTATTATAGACCATGTGAGTACCAAATAGAAACCAGCAGCCTGGAAAGGTTAACTCAAAATATAACTCCCTTCCAAGTGTAAAGCCAAGTGAAACAGCATGATGAATGGGAAAGAGTTGTACATTTAAGTTTCTTTCTCTTAAAAGCTAACTCCTGCTTGTGGTAGTCCCTGTATGTTGATTTTTAGAAGAGTATCAAAGAATTGAAGAGCAGGAAGGACCAAAACATTTTGGCTACTATTGTAAAGAAGAGTACAGGTGCTGTGGGCACACAGAGATATGACTATAAGGGTCGTGTTTGCAGTAATAAGACTAACTTCTGTGTTTGGCTTAGGAAACTTGTCTCGTAACCTTCTAGAATTTCACATCACTTGGCTGTAAGTGAAATTGTCTGTGGTTTCTCTGTAGCATCACAGGAAGGGTAAGTTTACAGATCATATCCCCAGGGCAATATTGGTCAGGATGAGAGAAGTCAGGTTGGGATATCAAACAGTGCTGAAGTCTCATTGGCAGAATGCAGCACCAGCTTAGTTATGCTGTTCAGAGTGTGCATTTCTGCTTTCTCTCCTGGCAGCTGCTTTCCATGTGCTGGTGGAACATTCTGGGCTACTCCAAACTTGTGGCTTCTCCATACTATGACATGTTACTGTGGTCATTGTGGTGGGCCTGGGACAGGGCTGGGGACCTAAGCAGCAGTCACTGAAACCTCCCCCAAAAGTCACACAGCCATAACTAACTTCAAGTGCAAGAACATTCCAGATGTGGGAACAGAGGAGCATGGATACTGGAGACGTTGGCATGGGCAGAACTGTTGTGTGAGCTCTTCCTGGGGAGACATGAACAATGTCTATTTATTCCAGATAGGAAACCAATGGTAGACCAAAGTAATGGTCCCACCAAAGTCCAACTTGGTGAACCAATGAGTCAAAAGAGTTACTTACAGGAGTGTAAGTGAGGGGTTACTTACAAGAGCATGGGTGGCTCACAGACACCTATGTCACTGAAAAACCCACACCAGCGTGGTTGACAAATGACAAAAACTGCAACCCTGGAGCTCTCTGAACCATTTGCAGACAGCCCAATAGGTCAGAGAGATTCCTCCCCCAGCAGTCATTCACCATTTCTATAACCTTGGGGAGGTTCCGTACAATTCTTGTTACGAGACTTGTAGGTGTTTACTTTCTGAGTTTCATGAGCTTCCCTCCTCCCTCCTGGAGGGAACATTTCAATTTGGAGGAAATTACTGAGCAACAATCACCATCAGTTTCTCTCTCTCTCTCTCTCTCTCTCTCTCTCTCTCTCTCTCTCT